AGGAACAGTGTGGGGTTTTTCCCCCCAAAGTGTTCTCAAAGGGCTTATAATCACTTTCTATTTGAATGGTTTCCCATTCATGAATAAATGGGTCAAAGTTTTCATAAACAAGATACTATTCCTTTGCAAGAATTGTAAGATATTTCTTTCCAGCTAGGGTATACTTTGTTTGAGTAGCTATTGTAATTATAATGTGAAAGTCTGTCTTTTTTTATAGAACTAATGTCCCATCTCACTTGGCAGGACACTGTAAGGTTACCACTTCATTCATGTTGTAATACTTCAGAACAACAGTTCTTTGATACATGTGATGATTGCATCATGCCAAGATAAGCTCCTCCGTGTGCATCTTTGTACAACAGTAACCTCAGGAGTTTTGCACATATTTGACAGGCTAGGAAGAAATATTGGCAGCTATTTTACAAATCATAAGAGTCATGAAATTGATTTAATATCTCTAGGTGTAGCTATAAGCTCTAGTGCTTTTACTTTACTTTACTTTTCTTCTTAATGCAATAGCTACTCTGTGAGCTATACTTGTTGAATTGTCTTATCTGTTAAACTTTGCTGCAGGTGTCACAGCATATTGTCTGTTCTTAGTGGGTGCGTATTGTTTGTTCCCAGTGGGTGCGTCTATACAATACGCTTACTGCGTGGTGGTGTAATAACACTGAGCAATAGTGTGCCGGTCAAAAAACATGCTAATAAGCTTCTGCGCAGTGTTATTAGGCTACTACACAGTAACCATCACCAAAAAAAAAATGTGCCGGAGCTACTGTGCAGTAAACGTAGTAACTGCACATTCAGTTAGTACTTCATTAAGGAAGTACTAAACTAAATGTGCAGTAACGATGGTGCATTAATGAACACAGACCCACCCACTATATTTTTTTATTTTACTTCTGTGTTTATTACATGAATCATATTTTACTTGAAAGCAGCGGCTGCTATGTTGCCTGAAATACCTAAGTTTCAGCCTTTTCCTTGGTATTCTGCTTGTAATTTGCTCTGTCCTAATGATATTATAATCAAGACATTGGCTTTGTCTATATGATCCTGAGGAAGTCTGTGTGACTGCATTAACTGAGGTCCCACTTCATTGCATTCAGTTTTCTGTGTACTTTGTGGTGCCAATCTGATCTTTACAAGCCACATGCATTTGTTGTTATACACTGGACTAATGTTTTATAAGTGAGTATCTCATCATCCACATCACTGCTTACTCCTTCAATATGATGCATTTTTCTTTAATTTTTTTCTATTCAAGCTTTGACATTATGATTTCTCTTGCCACAATTATAGCATACAAACCTGTAAGCATGGTATTTCCATTACCACATTTTTCACCAAACCATCTACAGGCTTTCTTTTGTATTTGATCCTCTCCTTTTCTTTGCATTTGCACATTCATTTTTCATGAATTGTTGTGTATTGTTCCCTTTATTTTTAAGCTTTTCCTGTGCAACTACTCTGCTGGTGAAACAGTATTGTTCTCAACCTAAAATGCAGTACCAAACATAATCCACAGTGTTAATAAAAGATCTGCCCTATGCTCCTTGTTGCAGTGCAGCTCTTTATGATAGGTAAGTACAGACAGCCAAGGTGGATTATTTCTAATAACTGCTGGACATAACCAAATATCTGCCAGCTCTGACGGACTTTTGGATTTATTATAAACAACACATTTTTAATAAACTACAAAAAATATTCCACAGCCAAAACATTAGGCAAAGAAAAACATAAGTTCTTCCAGATTTTCTTGCTTTTGCAGGAGATGACAGCATTTCAGGATTTGCTGAGAGCTGCAAAAAGTTTTATTGGGGAAGCATGGATTGTTTACAATGAGATCACAGAAAAGCAGGAGCAGATCCAGAGGGGGTGCAGTGGTACTACCAAGCCCCACTTTCTCACGACACTCCAGGAGCAGCAGCCAGGGACTTTTCTAAGTCCTGCAAGCAGGTAAGAATTCTCCTCTCCCTTCCCCTGCATGTCCCCTCCCCTCCCCTTGCTTCTCCCCTCCTCTGACTGCTGCTGCTTCTCTCCCCGCTGACCCTTGGGTGGCGGAGGCTCCACAGCTCCTCCTACCTACTCCTGCTGGGCTGCGCAAGGGCCCAAAACAACGGTGGCTGCAGACACCCTTGCCTGGTCCCCCTGGGTGTTCACTGCCAGTCTGGTAGGAGGCGGGGGGAGGGGGAAACCCATTGCACCACCATGCTGTCCCAGGCTGAGCCCAGCCCTTGCACAGCTCAGAAACAGTGGTAAAAGCAGATCTAGAGCTTCCCTTGCTCCTGTTCACCACACGTTCACTCAAACACACTCCAAAAAACACAAGCAGCTTTCCACCAATATAATTTGAAAGGAGAGTGGCAGATTTTATGTTATGAACTTGCCCAAGTATTACTGAGTTTGTGATGTGTTTAATGACTATTAGAATACTGTAGAACAGTTGTAGTCTCTTCAATGCTACAAGTTAGGTCTAGAAGCAGACTACGATCACCTGACTCTCCACCTGATCTCAGACAAAGCAAAACCAATCTCCCTTAAATGTTTCAGTCATATGTATTCCCCCGATGGAAAAATATGAAGTTTGTGGATAAGCTTTCAAAGTGGTTGTGGGATAGGAGAGCTAAAAAAGTATCCTTCTTTTCTTTTAGCCAAGGAACAGCATTCAAGTACCTTTGAGATGTTTTCGGATTTTGTTACTTGATGCCACTTTTGTGGATCTCAGGGAGTGTTTGAGATTTTATGTACACAACAATTTACTAGGTGAGGTATAACATGACCCCAACAAAAGGGAAGAGGATGCAGGAGTTTTGACAAGTGAAGAGAGACAGACTGGCATAGACCAGAGCTGGTAGACACAGATAGGACCCAAGAAGGAGAAGCTGGCAGAGTCTTCAAATATTGACACTATGCAGAGTATAAAAGCTTAGACAAAACGGTATAGAATAGGGGATCTGAATGTAAAAGAATCTCTACCATGTAAAGTGTAATCCACACTCACCAGAAAGTCAATTCTTGACCCTCACCTACATGCAGGATGTGAGGTATCTCATACACTGCTCTCTATATTTACTCCGGGATAAACCATGCCTTCATTCAACACTCCGATGGTCTGTGTACCACACTTGTTCATTTTTCCAATAATAATCAGACATCTCAGACTTGGAAACAGGCCACAGAGCAAGTTACACAACAACTATGGGTGAGGGTGGTAGAAAGGCAAGGTAGACTGGCACCTTATAATCTAACGGAAGTAGATGTATACACAAGGCAAAACCTCTTGTGAACTGAAGCTCACTTCATCAGGTGCTGTGAAAGGCCATGTAGCACCCTGTCATATCATACCTGCATTCACAAGATACTTCCAAATCCTCCCGTGACTAATACAAGTCAGAATAGGGAACGGATATTATTTGGACTGCTGTACTTTCCAGAAAGCCCCAATTGAGATCACAGCCCCAGTGTGGTGGACAGTATTCAAACACCCCTGAGGACACAGTCCTTTCCCAGACAACATTTAGCAACAGTCTACATTGCTTTACCTGATGTAAGCGATGAACACAGCACTGCTTTACCATTAGCACCACATTTCCTTTCAGGCATTTATTTCTGAAGACTTTATCGAAACAGCTGGGAAGTGTTTTTAATGGGGCACTGCCACGTCCAAGAGGGCACTCTGATAGTTGGCACCTGAGCTGGATGTCAAGCCCGGGGATTTCAAGAGCAGCCAAGCCCAAAACAGAGCAGCCACGGCAACAACAAAATTAGCAGATGACTTCTTAATTTAAGCCAATGGTTCTCAGCCTTTCTAGACTCAAGACACTCCACGTGAGGCTAGAGGCACCCCTTGGAAAATGCCGGCTCATATTTTCTTGACCAGGGAAATATAGAGCTGTCCTTGTGAGGCAAAGAGCTCAGCCAGCCCATGGCAGGGCAAAAAGCTTTTAACACAGTGGCTCCTATGGGAAATCTCTAGGTTTCTCTTGTGAAATGCGTTTGCGCACCTGATAGCACTGACACTGCCCCGTGGACCCCCTGCAAGGATCTCACAACACCCAGCTGAGAAGCACCAGTTTCAACATAACAAGAGCAGAAAACATCATTGCTGCCCTGTAACTGATACTGGATGATATAGTCCCTCTCTGCACACACAGACATACCAGTAATGCCCAGTTATCTGCAGCTGTAGCCACACACACACACACACGCGCGCGTGCGCTGATGCATGCACTCTCACAGACTGTCACGCACAGATGTGCACAGACACATGCACATAAACACACGCACACAGATGCACTCTCACACACGCCCACAGGTTCATATGCACGCACTCACACACCTATAGGTGATTGGTAAAGGGGACACGGGGGCGGTGGGGGTACGTGCCCCTCCTGACAGGGCCATCCCCGCTGCTGGCGGCTTCTGTGGGTGCCTCTCCAGACTCAGGAGCACCAGTCACCCCTGCACACACCCACGCCTGCACGTGCACGCACTCTCACACACATACATGCTGATGCACACACTCTCACACAGTCACACACAGACATGCGCAGACACATGCACATAAACTCACACACACACAGATGCACTCTCACACACTCACACAGACACCCCCACATGTTCATATGCACGCACTCTCACACGCAGCCACACACACATTGATGCACACACTCTCACACACTGTCACACACAGAAGTGCACACACAGATGCCCTCTCTCACACATGCCCGCACGTTCACATGCATGCGCACACACTCTCACAGATGCACACGCACAAGGATGTGCATACGCATGCCCCCACATGCAGATGCCCGCAGAGGCACAACAGGCGGGCACCCAGAGGCACATGCAGACATACGCACACCCTCTCCCGGATGCACACACAGGCACATGCAGACACACGCGTGCACTCCCACACAGCCCCTCTCCCTCCCGCACACGCACCCCCGCGCGGCGCTGCCCGGGCAGGACCCGCGAGCGCCCGGCGCCCACGCTACCTGCCGAAGTGCCCCAGGGTGTCGAAGAGGCGCTCGGA